TCATATCCCTGGCCCCTGTGCCTGCTTGCAGGTGCTTTAATCCGATGAGTTGTTTGGCCGGCCCTTGCTTCTTCTAACAGCTTTTAATATTCTGGTTTTTGCTGAATTTCTGGAATCTCGATTATTATGTATCTGGGTAGAAATTTATTTTTATTATAGCTAGCCACAGTTCTACATACCTCACTTCTCTGTGTGTCAGGTTCGTTTCCCATGTTTTGGAAATTTTCTGCACTACTTCTGCAAATACTCTTTTTATGTCATTGTGTTTACTCCAGCTGTTTCATTGATACCTGTAAACCTACTAATTAGTCTTATATTATTTTCCTTTGCATCATCTTGCAGCTGTTGTTTCTCATTTTTTAAGAAATTTTTCCTTTTGTGTTCAGTAGCTGCAATACTATCTTCATGGTCTGAAATTCTATATTTAGTTTCATTCAAGTGGTTTTGCTATTTTCCAATGGAATTTTTAATGTCCTGGATATCTGTTTGAATCTGTTTTGTGCATTCTATTTCTTTATTGTATTGTTCATTCAGTATTTCCATCATTTTCCTATGTCCGTCTAATTTTAAATGATTTCTTTAGATGTATTGAGCAATTCTTTCATGATTTTTTTTTAACCTGAGTGATTATTTCTGATTTCCTTCATATCCTAATGCCTAATGGAGTTGTTTCTTTACTTCAGTTGCTGTCATTTCTAAAATTTCAGGTCTGTGGCTTCCAAGTTCTTCTATGACCTTGTTGCCTGACTTATTTAAGGAATCTTGCGTGGTACCACTACACCAGCGGTGCTGTTGCCTGACTTATTTGGGGTGGGCTGGAGGTCTGAGATTGCCTTTTGCTCTTCCTTTTGACATTTTTGAAGCTCTAAGTGTTCACCCTGACTCTGGAGTGATGGTAGAGAGGTGGGGTATGGGTGAGCAAGCGTCTCAGGCTACTGGGAGGCTAGGGTAGGCTCATCAAAGCTCCCTCTATGTGGGATTCAGTGTTGCTTCTCCTTGGTGAGAAGGGTGCAAACCACCTCTTAAGAAGGACCCGAAGACGATTAAGGCAGGCTCAAGCTCTGCAAGGCTTTCTCAGTGGTGTGGGTTGTGCAGGGTAGGGCTCACTGAGGCTCCTACTACCTGTGGGACAGGCAGCAGCAGCTTAGCAGAGCTACAGTGACGTGATGGTGGAGAGGTATTCACAGCTCATCCAAGCCCCAGCAAGGGTAGGCGGTGTGGGGAAGGGCTTACCAGGTCCCTGAAGCTGTCTTCTGAGTGCCTGATGTTTTTGGGTGGTTGGAGAAGTGGCTGATGCTCAGCTGAGCTCTGGTGAGGATCCTATTTTGTATTCTTTATTAAATACATAAATAATTGAAAAGGATACTTTGATAAATTTATTTAATCCTTTTATTTAAACTTTAAACTGTAAACTAATCTGTGAGTCTTTTTTTTTCATGTTTGGTACAGGGTCTTACTACACAGCTCAGAGTCTAGTGATCCTCCTGTTTTCAGCCTCCCCAGTGTTGGGATTACATGCATGGGACACCATGCCCGGGTTTGGTGGCCTGCTCATCGTGATCTGCTTAGTGTGCCCAGGAGTAGGGCTGGCATAGCATGTGGTGTAGGAGATTAAACCCCAGTCCCTGTGCTTGCCTAAGCAGGCACTTAGTCTGCTGAGCTATCTCACCAGCCCTTAAACTGTGGGTCTTATGCAATCCACTGGAGGTAAAGAAAAGGATAATGTTCAAAATATTGGAGATTTTAAGATAGAAATAGTGCATCTAAATGAATTTAAAAGGCTTTAATTTTTTCAAGCCTAGATGCACGGTTCTTTTCATGAAATGTTTGATTTGTAAAATCAGAAATAAGTTGAATACTTGTGTCATTTAGAAAATTGCTCACTTATGAGTGTAAACCTAATAAGCTCCCAGATATGAAAAATCAGTTTCCATTTTGTAAAAATCAACCTTTTGTAAATAAATCAAATGTAGAGCTAGGGATATAGTTCATTGACGTGAGCGCCTGCCTGGCAAGCGCGAATGCCGGAGTTTGATCCCTGGTACTGCAAATAGATAGATTGATAAATAAATAAATAAATAAATAAATAAATAAATGCAATTGGATAATTAAATACAAATTTGACAAATTTCAATGCCACTACATCTACCTTAACATGTTCCCAGTGCCTTGTAAAGAGTGGTGGTACATGTGTGGCTCTCTCATTAGGCCATTTGTTCCACAGGTGATACAAACAGTTCTCATCACTTTAACTGTTCTGTTTAGTAAAAAGTTATTAAAAAGCTATTTGATGGGACAGTCAGGCCTGTACTACTGGTGGTTCAAGCTGCTCAGCAGTGAGATCACAAATTAAGACCATTAAAATTATTTTAAAGAGAAATTTTATAAACGTCATTTATACTTAAAATAAGATTTGTAAACTTGAATTACACACATGTAGGACTTGGTGCAGTTCTACAACATTAGGCTGTTTAGTTACATAGGCTGTTTAGATTGACTCAAGTATGCCTCACTTAATGTATTTTATGTGGAGTCACTTGATATACATAGGGTAGTTATACACAGTATTTCACTTTGGAAGTCACAGGAAGAATCACCCCTTCTATAATATTCTGGAGCTGGGTGATGTGCTTCACTCCTGTAATCCCAGCTATCTGGGAGACTGAGGCAAGAAGATTTAAAGTTCTAACCAAGGTTGGGTAATTTAGCACCATGGTGAGACTGACCCACAGAAAACTTAAGTGTGCTTCAGTCACCAACGGAGTAGGCCTCCATTTTCCCCCACCCCCACAATTTCTTGAAAGCCCCACAATTTCTTGAAAGCTCATTTGGTTTGGAGAATGTTTTAATGCCAGGACTTTAACTTCAAATGTCTAAGTAGTTCTCAACAGAGGAAGAGCTAGGAAAAGGAGATTCAGGTGTTTTCCTCCATAATTGAGCTATTCAGTTGTACTACCTTTTGACTTCCTTATTTTCATTGTATTTTTTTGTACAGTGGTCGAGTTAAACTATAAAATATTTAAAGGTTTGTTAAAAAGTACTGTCACTATTTAAACAGTACACATACAAAAGGAAATCATCATAACATTAAGATATAGTCATTACTGATGCATAATGTTTACAATCTTTGAGTTTTCTGCCTTGATATGTACAAATGTTTGGTTGATAACAGAAGATCTTGAACATTAGAGGTGATCTTGTCTAGCCTGCTGGATTTGTTGCCAGATTTGTTGATGTAGGCGCTTAGATTCAGCCATGTTCACCATGGAACTCTTGGTCCTTTTCTCTGTTTGTGTAGAGCACCAATATCTCCCCTTTTCTTTCCTTCTCATTCCTTTCTTTTCCTCCTCTTCCGCACTGTCTTCATTTTTCCTTCCCTCTCTTCTGTGATACCCAGGGACTCACACATACTAGGCAAATACTTTACTCTTACCATCATGCATTTCCTAATAATATTGAATCAAGTCAGGTGTAGTGGACTCTTGTAATCCCAACACTCTTGGAGTTTGAAGGAAAAAGGCTACAAGTGCTCAACTAACCTAGGCCATTTAGCAATATAGCAAAATCCTTAATCCCCATTCAGAGAACTAGTGTTACAGCTCAGTGTGAAGTTCCTGAATTTAATCCCTATCTCCATAGAAAAATTAGGTATTAGCTTATTAACTCTTATGTGAAAGTATTTTTTATGATTATTGTCTTTGTCATTTTTTCATTGCTGGGATACAGGACCCAACATCCACAGCTTAAAGGAGGAGAGGTTTATTTTAGCTCATGTTTTCAGTCCCTGATTGGTTGGCTCCAGTGCAGAAACTATAGCGGAAAGGCCTGGTAGAGGACAGCTACTCCTGTATTGGCAGCCAGGAAGCAGAGAAGGGAAATAGCCCAGAGGGAGATGCTCCCTTCCCCTTCAAGCTCCCAGTTAACCCACCTTTAAGCAAGCCTAAGCTTTCTATTTTTGTTGTTTTCTACAGAGTTATAGAAGTGAAATTAATTGGCCAAATGATTTGACCATTTTTAAGCTTTGGGTTTTCTTTTCCTGTGTATACTAGGCATCTATCTAAAGTTAGAACTGATCATATAACCTCTGTTAGTCTTTATGTTTTGAGACTGGGTATCTATGTAGAGCACACGGGCCTCAAACACACAGCAATCTTCTTGCCTTAGTGTAGTGAGTGATGGGATTAGAGGTGTGTGCCCCTCACCTGACCCTCTGTAATTATTTCTACCACTGGCAGTATAAGAAATTCTTCTCTTACTCTTTTTTTTGTTTTGTTTTGTTTTTGTTTTTGTTTTTGTTTTTTGTTCCTTTTAGGAATACAAGTTTCACAGAAGCAATGCTTTATCCTTTTTTACAATGCTATATGCTGATACAAAAATATTGCCTAGGAGCAGGGATATAGCTCAGTGGCACAGCACGTGCCTGGCAAGCTCAAGATCCTGAGTTTGAATTCTGGCACCATGAATGAATGAGAAAGAGAAAGAAACAAAAGAAAGAAAAAAATAGTACCTGGCATATAATAAACTCTTTATATATTGAACAAGTGAATGAATATTATAGCATTGCATATAGATTGTATACTTAAACTATGTGGAAGTCATTGTGACAAATGATTTGTAAAGATATATCGAAGTCATTCATTGTAGGACATGTGCGTGGTATTAGACCAGGTATTTTATATAGGATAGAAAAATTAAATGCCTTAAGATTGGCCCAGAATGCTTTTAGATTTCCTCTCCTTACTCATTCCCGTCTGTAAGTATTTAAGAAGTTAACTAATAAATTTCTTTGTTGACTTTTAGGGTGGGGTCATGGTAAGAATGGCTCCTGAGCTGGATTTTCAGAGTAGATTTCATTCATTTGAGAAATAGATCATATTGCTTCGCTTTTCATTTCTGAGTGTAAATACCTAACATACACAACTTTAAAGGATGAAATACTTATTTTGGCTTACACGGTCAAGAGGTTTCACTCCATACTCACTTTGGTATGTTGCTTCTAGGACTGTGGTGAAGCAGAAATGTCATGGAAGAAGAGCTTAGTGGATGAGAGCTGCTCACCTTATGGCAGCTGGGAAGCAGAGAGAGAAGGAAAGTGCCCAAGAGAAGGTATGCCCTTCAGAGTCCTGACCCCAGTGTCCACCTTTGTCCAATTAGCCTCCACCTCTTGGGAGCCCATGCAGCTATGATCTCATAATTGGGTTAATCTGTTGGTAAGATTATCCTCCACACAATCCAGACACCTTTCTAGAGTCTATTAATCCAGTCAAGTTGAGAAACTGATCCAACCATCACATCCCAAGCAGTATTTTAGACAGGTTGGGTAGGATAGGTAAACTAGAGACCATATTCTTTTTATATGTACTTAGTACAGGGTCTACAGGGTCACACTACACAGATCAGATTTGTAGTGATAGTCCTGTTCTCAGCCTCCCAAGTGCTGGGATTACAGGCGCATGCCACCACTCCCAGTCTGAAAACCATATTCTTAAGTGAACTAAATCAAATTGGCATGTGTATGCATCATATTGTCTTCCTGTAAGGACCTGAAAAAATAAAATCTGAAAGATGCAGTAGATACTGTGAAAGGGAAAGAAACTGTTCAAAGGGAAGGAACATTTGGGATGAGGGAAAGGGAAAAAGAAGGGAAAATTTTAATTTTGTATAGCTTTTGGGACTGAGTTTGCATACTTGTATCTGGTAATCTGAACAACTAATTTGAAGACAACAACATGCAATAAAAAATATTGTTGAATTTATTATCATGCTTTGTGAAGTTCTGTATAATTTCTATAATTTTTTAAACTATTTTTTTCCTCTTAAAAAATAATAGGTTAAAGACATGCTTCTTGTAGTACTTCTGGTATCACAAAGGAAGAAAAATGTTTAGTTCTTAATGCATAGTCTTGCTTCAAGCTATAAGTTTCAGGTGAACTTACAATGTTTAGGATGGCTTCAAAGTCACAATGAACCTACTATCTCAGCCTCCTAAGTACTGAGATAATGAGATCGTGTCACTGTGCCTAGCTTGGTATATTAATATTTTAATTACCATTTTAAATGTTAGGAAGTTCTATTTTGTCCTCTCCCCCTTTTTTGGAATAGTAGTCCTTCTTCATTTTTAATTTTTTTTTTTTTTTAGACAAAATCTTGCTAAATTATAAAATAGCCCAGGATAGACTTAGATTTGCAGTCCGGCTTCAGTTTGCCAGAGTGCTAGAACTACAAGTGTATGCTACCGCACCTAGTTTCAGCCTCAGATTTCTTTTAATGTTTTTAAAATTAATTTTATTAGTATAGTTTTGATATATATGGTGATTACATACCTCATAGGGAGTTTATTTCTTTTAATGTATTTAGTACAGGATCTACAGGGTCTCACTACACAGATCGGACTTGAAGTGATCCTCCTGTTTTCAGCCTCCCAAGTGCTGGGATTACAGTGTCAGTTTCACTCCACCACACCCAGTGTCAGTTGCCAAGTGCGCTCCAGGGGTGGGACCACCACAGCACCCCAGGGATCAAACCCTGGCCACTGTGCCTGCCTGCATAGGCGCTTTAGTCCACTGAGATACCTGACTGGCCCAGGGAGTTTATTTCTATATATATCTTAATTATTTTCTTCCCATTCCCCTTCCCTCTTTTTAAACCTTTATTACCTTATTTACAAAGTTTTATTTCCATTTTTTCCTTCTATTTTCTTTTTCTTTCTTTCCCTTCGTCTTGTTCTCCCAAAATGAATATTTTTGGATATTGACTTTGGATCCAGCAATGCTACACAATTTCGTTATTAAATCTGGAAGTGTTTTGGTAAGATTTTAGGATTCTTATATGTGGAATATCATGAAATGTGCACATGATGATAATTTAACTTTTCTTTTTCCTGTCCTCTTGTTTCTCTTGTCTAATTGTTTTAGCTAATGTTTTCAGAACTATATTGAATAATAGTGAGATAGCAGACATCTTTGTCTTATTCCAGATTTTAGAGTGAAAGTTTTAAGTTTTTGACCATTTAGTATGATGTTGGCTTTTGATGTGTCATAGATGGCTTTTATCAGACTGAGATAAAGGTATATATTTCAGTTTTCTATAGGGTTTTCATCATGAATGGGTGTTGCACTTTGTCAATCACTTTTCCTCTATCTGTTAAGATGATCATGTGATTTTTATCCTTGGCTCTGGTAGTGTTGCGTATTGCATTTATTGATTTGTTTATGTTGAGCCATTCCTGCATCCCCCAGATGAATCCTACTTGGTCATGGTATATATTCTTCCTGATGGTTTGCTGCATTGTTTACTAGTATCTTACTGAGGATTTGTGCCCTTATCTTCATTAGGTACTTTGGCCTGTGGAGCTCTAGTTTGGTTGTGTCCTTTTTTGATATTAGCGTCATGTTTGCTTCTAGGAATGATGTTGAGAATGATATTTTCCTTTAGTTTCTTTGAAGAGTTTGAAGAGTAGTGACATTAGATCTTCTCTGATTTTCTTGTTGAGTTTATTTATTATTATTTATTTTTCACTGGAAAAAAAGTATATTTAGAATTAGCAGCTGGACTCAGCTTTGATTATCCCAATTTTGTGGGCAGCATCCAATGCATCATAATCAGGAGTCAGCTGAACATGTGCCTTCTCTCCATCAGGACTTATTAGGATGTTGACCTTGGCAATATCAACGCCATAGAGCTTCTTCACAGCTTGTTTGATTTGGTGCTTATTAGCTTTGACACCCACAGTGAACACGCGTGTGTTGTCCTCAGTCTTTTTCATGGCTGACTCTGTGGTCAGGGGGAACTTGATGATGGCGTAGTGGTCAAGTTTGTGTCTCCTGGGGACGTTCTTCTGAGGGTATTTGGGCTGTCTCCGGAGCTGCAGTGTCTTGGGAAGACATAAGGTTTGTGACGTCCGTATCTTCTTTTTATGACTGTGGATGCCTTTCAGTACAGCCTTCTTGGCCTTCAAAGCTTTTGCTTTGGCTTCAGCTTTGGGAGGGCAGGGGCTTCCTTCTTCACCTTTGGAGCCATCTTGGTAAAAAGGCTCTCTCCTTCTTGTTGAGTTTAGCTATGACTCTGTCAGGACCTGGTAGTTTTTGGTAGTTTTCTTACTTATGCCTTCAATTTCTTCGACTAATTTTGGATTATTGAGAGGTTTTATATCCTTTATTCAGCTTTTGTAGTTCATATATATCTTGGAAACTATCTCATCTGGGTTTTCCATCTTACTGGAGTACTTATTCTCAAAAAAGACATAGTCTTCTGAATTTCTGCAGGGTCCACTGTGATCTTGACCTTTTCCTTCCTATTTCATGGACTTGAGTCTTAACTTTTTTTGATAAAATTGGTGAATTTTATCATTAATTGACTCAGTATTCTTTTCTTGGGCTTGCGGGTTAGCTCAGTTGTTTAAACACCTGCTTGAGCAAACCCAGTCAGGCACAGGGGACCACAGTTCGATCTCCAGCTCCACATGCCTTACCAGACCCTCCCTTAAGGCAGCCTAAGCCAGGCAAAAAAAACTTCTAAAATACATTTGGCTTCCTTCTTAGGTCAATAATATCTGTTTAAGGCACAACTCCCACATAACAATACAGCCAGACATGCCTTGAGGGCATTCGGCGTTAAAAAAAAAAAAAAAAAAAAACCCTCCTTCTTTTTAGTCTTCTCTTTAGTAAAACATGAAGTTTTACTGTGAACTTTTTTTATTTTTATTTTTAAAAGATACTACAAAATAGTAAAATAGAAAAATTACAAATGATACAGAATTTCACTAAATAAGATAATATGAATTTTACAGTATTTGTTGTATTGCATAGTGCTGTCTTCAAATTAGTTGTGCATATTACCAGATATATGCCTGCAAAATTAGAAGAAAGAAAAATATAAGAAATCAAGAAGAGAAAAAGGCCAAGGTATTGAAAAAAGACAAAACAAATTAAGTACTAACTGCTCCTTTCCACAGACCAGCAGAAATCCACAGTAGAGTTGTCCAAACCATTCTGCTTGCATACATAGATATATCTCTTTTCCTCACTCCCTCTCCTGTCCTTCCCTTCAAATCAGTAATTCCTTTTGAGCAGGTTCATTCCCTTTCCCCAGTATCGATTGTATACTTCAGATTTTATTTTCTCTCTTTCTTTCCTTTTGTGGTCCCAGGGATTAAACTTGAGGCCTTGTGCTTGCCAGTCAAGTGTTTATGCTGCTGAGCTATCTTCTTAGCCTAGGTTACTGTGAACATTATAGTTTCCTCCCTAGTATGGATTTTGGGCTAGACTTGCTCTCCTTTTTCTAGTTTCTTGAGCTTCACTTTCATAAATTTTTCTCATAGAAGTACTTCCACTTCATTCCACAAGTTCTAGTATGTCATATTGGTGTTACTGTTTAATTGCAAAAACAGGGACTGGGGATATAGCCCAGCAGCATAAGTGCCTGCCTGGCAAGCACAAGGTCCTGAGTTCAATCCCTGGTACTGCAAAAAAACAAAACAAAAAACCCAAAAGACCAACTGTTTCATTTCTTCTTTAATTTCATCTGTGACTCATTGGTTGCTTATGAGGACATTACTTAATTTCCAAGATTTTATATATATAACTGTTGTACTTTCTTTTGCCATTGGTTTGTAAATTTATTTCACTATGATCCAATAATGTGTAAGTATAATTTCTGTTCTATCACATTTGCTCAAGCATATTCTGTGGGCCCGTATATGGTCTATTTTAGGAGGCCAGTGCCTCATCCATTAGGCTACTGAGACTTCTTAGTATACTGGTCCCTTATTTATCATGGAGGTTATGTTCCAGATACCCCCATGATAAGTGAAAAATAAGCGAAGTAGTGACGTTATCTTTATTTTAGTATTTATATATATTTTAAGACTTTATATACCCTTCCCATATTCTTACAAACTTTTTCCACACTTGTCAGAACACTTTTAATGTTAACCATTTTTTAAACTCATAAGTCTATATAATTTTAACAATGTACATAATTGTATGGTACTGCAAAAACCGAAAAATAATTTAGATTAATATTTTTTTGAAAAACCACGAAGCAGTCCATGAAAGTCTAAACGTGAAATAGAGGTTGTTTGTTTGTTTTTTTGTTTTGGCAGTTCA